AAACCCCCCCCCCCCCCCTCCCCTCCCCTTCTTAACCTCTATATATCATTTAGGTAGAGATTTCAAACCTTTCAGTCAATCAAATGATGCTTTTTAACTCAATACTCACTAGGATATTGCCCGTTTTAACTCATTATCAATTAGATAGGAGAGCGAAGCATTCCTTACAAAAGGTGTAGGACCCTTTTGTTAGCATATTGCTTTTAAAACTGTGAGGCTGACAACAATAGGTAACATGTCAAAACGAACAATACCCACTAAAACGATCAATAGGTAACAATATACCTAATGACGAGGGGGAGAGATTCAATTCCATTCACCTCTTGCAAGCGAATAAAGTTCGAGTTCCACCCTTCAAGCTTAATATACAGTGATATTAGTCATACAATAAATCATGAGTTTGGGGAGTTCAAGAAATTCAAAAGAGAAAGGTAAGCAAATGGAAACACATGAGTGGATATTATCACGACTCTCCATAATTGTATAATATTGTCCACTTTGAACATACGCTCTTATGGCTTTGCTTTGGGCTTTCTCAAAAGGTCTCACACCAATGGAGAGAGTATTATTTGTTTATAAACTCATCATTATTCTCTAAATTAGTCGACGTGGGACTTTTATCATCCAACAACGGGTTGATTTATACGTAACAAGATGAACAAATATACATAATATAATGGAGAAAAATTGTGGAGTACGAATAGCAAGACAAGAAGGGTTTCAGAAGAGAAAAGATGAGAAGAACAAGACATGAAGGTTTGGTAGGATGAAGCCAACAAAAGTGCATAAAACCCCATATAAATATTGCATGGATTCTGCCCCTCTGTCTCTCTTTTCATTGTTTTTTCAACTGTGGAATTGGTTTTGCTTTTGCATACGTGGGGAATTAGTGAAATTGTGTGTGGGACAGAGCTTTGACTTTTTCTAGCTCATATTCTAAGCCAATTAGGTACTTCAACTGCTCACTTTCTCTACAGAGTTGGTTTTCACTCCATTTCTTAGCTAAGACATTATAACAAGCAAACCCACCATCTCCCTCCTTCCAACCACTGTGACTGTATTGATATTATTCCATATCGCCTAATTATGATTCCACAAATAGTTAACCCTTTTTTGTTTAGTTTTATATTATGGGCCTTTCTGACCCTCCCTTTTGACCTTCCCGACATTCTATTTATTATTATGGAACTATGAAAGCAGAGATGTACCTCAACTGATTCTGATCCTCATCTGAAATGGAGATAAATAATGGCGTTGTAGCAATCCGATGGTCATTTATGGCATTTGCCTGACGGGCAGATCGATATCTCCCAACCATTTGCCTATGCAGTCATTATTATCTGTAGAGTTCGAGAAACCATGGCTCTTCTTCCATGCAGCGCCGCTCTTTGCCTCTTACCATTTTTCACCACGCGTCTTCCATAAGTACTGTCTAAAATTCTACTATTTTTTGAAGAATATGTACCTCTGATCATCTCTTGAAATCTCTCCAAGAATAGGGTGTTACTTGCATTTGCAGCAGAATGGCTGATTCTTCTGCTCTGTTTTTACCATTTGTTGTCGTGCTCTGTTTTTTTGTGTGCTCTGTTCCATATGGGTTCGTTTTGTGCAATGGTCAGTTGGATGGTGGTTCGAGTTTAGGCGTGCTTTTGGAGATAAGGAAGTCATTTGTGGATGACCCTGGGAAAGTATTGGAGGGTTGGTCTGAGAGCAATCCGAATTTCTGCACTTGGAGAGGGGTTTCTTGTGGGTCTAACTCGGCGGGTGGCTCGGTTCAAGTGGTGGGACTTAACCTTTCTGACTCGTCACTCGGTGGGTCTATATCGCCAGCACTCGGTAGGTTACAGAACCTGCTCCACCTTGATCTTTCCAGCAACAGCCTAATGGGTCCCATTCCAACAAACCTCTCGGAACTCCATTCGTTGGAATCTTTGCTCCTTTTCTCTAACCAACTCAGTGGGCCGATTCCGGCTGAGCTGGGTTCGATGACGAGTTTACGAGTTATGCGAATCGGCGACAACGCACTTACTGGTTCCATTCCCTCTTCGTTTGGAAGTCTTGTGAATTTGGTTACTCTTGGTTTGGCCTCGTGTAGTCTTAGCGGTTTGATACCCCCAGAACTAGGCGGGCTCGGCCGAGTTGAGGATTTGGTTCTACAACAAAATCAACTCGAGGGTCCGATTCCGAGGGAGCTTGGAAACTGTTCGAGCCTCGTTGTTTTCACTGCAGCTGCTAATAGTCTCAATGGCTCGATACCGATGCAATTGGGTCGTCTTGAGAATCTCCAAATTCTGAACCTCGCTAATAATACTCTCTCCGGTGAGATTCCGGTGGAGCTTGGGGAACTCGGTCAGCTTGTATATTTGAACCTAATGGGAAACCAACTCGAGGGTTCAATTCCAGTTTCACTTGCTGAATTGGGTAATCTCCAGAATCTGGATTTGTCTATGAACAAGCTCTCAGGGGGAATTCCAGAGGAGTTGGGCAATATGGGGAACTTGGAGTTCTTGGTTCTATCGAACAATCATCTTTCTGGTGTCATACCGAGAAAGTTATGTTCCAATACTTCCAGTTTAGAGCACTTGTCTCTATCTCAGATACAAATCTCCGGCGAGATTCCGGTGGAGTTGATTGAATGCAGATCGCTAACGCAGATTGATTTGTCTAACAATAAACTTAATGGGTCGATTCCTGATGAGTTTTATGAATTGAGGGGCTTGACTGATGTCCTCCTCCATAACAACAGCTTAGTGGGTTCAATTTCACCGGCGATTGCAAACTTCAGCAGTTTGAAGACTCTTGCTCTTTACCATAACAATCTGCAGGGCGATCTCCCACGTGAGATTGGCATGCTTGGGGAACTTGAAATTTTGTATCTCTACGACAATCAGCTGTCGGGGAAAATTCCTTTCGAGTTGGGGAATTGCTCAAACTTGCAGATGATTGATTTCTTTGGGAATCGGTTCAGTGGGGAAATTCCGGTGAGCATTGGAAGATTGAGGGAGCTGAATTTCATTCATCTCAGGCAAAACGAACTTGTGGGTCAAATTCCCGCCACTTTGGGTAACTGCCATAAACTGACCATAGTGGACTTAGCTGACAATCGTCTTTCTGGTGGGATTCCTTCAACATTTGGCTTCCTCGGAGCTCTGGAGCAGCTTATGCTTTACAACAATTCTCTTGAAGGTAATCTTCCTCGTTCATTGATCAATTTAACAAACCTTACAAGAATAAATCTATCCAAAAACAGGTTGAATGGAAGCATTGCTCCATTGTGTGCTTCCCCTTTTTTTCTTTCTTTCGACGTTACACACAATGCGTTTGACGGTGAAATCCCTCCTCAACTCGGAAACTCTTCCTCCCTTGAGAGGTTGAGATTAGGGAACAACAAATTTTCCGGCGAAATTCCGCCGGCTTTGGGGAAGATCCGTCAACTGTCCTTGCTGGATTTATCAGGAAATTCTCTTACAGGGTCTATTCCGGCCGAGTTGTCGTTATGTAAGAAACTGACCCACCTTGATCTTAACAATAACCTTCTTTCTGGAACTATACCAATGTGGCTTGGTAGATTGCCTCAATTAGGAGAGATTAAGCTCTCTTTCAATCAGTTCTCTGGTCCACTGCCTTTGGAGCTTTTCAATTGTTCCAAACTGATTGTGCTCACTCTAAATGGAAATCTACTTAATGGAACATTGCCCATGGAAATTGGTAGCCTGGTATCACTTAACATCCTCAACCTTGATGATAACCAGTTTTTGGGTTCAATTCCTAAAGCTATTGGTAAGGTAAACAAATTATTCGAGCTTCGTATGTCGAGAAACGCTTTAGATGGGGAAATACCAGCTGAGATTTCCCAACTACAGAATCTTCAGAGCATATTGGACCTCAGTTACAATAACCTGACCGGTGAAATTCCCTCCTCTGTTGCTCTGCTGTCCAAACTAGAAGCGCTTGATCTATCTCACAATGAACTGACTGGAGAAGTCCCTCCAGACATTGGTAAGATGACCAGTTTGGGCAAGCTCAACCTAGCTTACAACAAACTAGAAGGAAAACTGGACAAGGACTTCTCACACTGGCCAGATAGTGTATTCCAAGGAAACCATCAACTTTGTGGAGGTCCTCTTGGTCATTGTAGTGAAGCTTCTTCGAGCCGATCATCGGGTCTGAGTGAAGCAGCAGTGATAGCCATATCTGCAGTTTCAACTTTGGCAGGAATGGCAATTCTATTGCTTACAGTTACCCTTCTCTATAAACACAAACTAGAAAGTTTCAAAAGACGGGGTGAGGTCAACTGCATTTATTCATCTAGTTCTTCCCAAGCACAGAGAAGACCACTTTTCCATAACCCTGGTGGAAATCGAGATTTCAAATGGGAAGAAATTATGGAGGCCACAAACAATTTAAGTGACGATTTCATTATCGGCTCAGGAGGCTCTGGAACAATCTATCGAGCCGAATTGCACAGCGGAGAAACTGTTGCTGTTAAGAAGATATTGTGCAAAGATGATCTTTTGTCAAATAGAAGCTTCATAAGAGAGGTCAAGACACTAGGAAGGATAAAGCACAGACATCTAGTGAAGCTGCTGGGATATTGCATCCACAGAGGAGCAGGCTCAAATCTGTTGATTTATGATTACATGGAGAATGGAAGTGTTTGGGACTGGTTGCACCAACAACCAGTCAATGGGAAGAAGAAAAAGAAGCTTGATTGGGAGGCAAGATTCAGGATTGCTGTTCAATTGGCTCAGGGATTGGAATATCTCCACCATGACTGTTTGCCCAAGATTATCCATAGGGACATCAAATCAAGCAACATCCTTCTTGATTCCAATATGGAGGCACATTTGGGGGATTTCGGCCTAGCAAAAGCCATCGTCGAGAATTACGACACTGACACAGAATCCAAAACATGGTTTGCAGGTTCTTATGGCTACATAGCTCCAGGTAACACCATTTTTATTCACTTGATTTAGTTGTGATGGAAATACATAGTTAACATACTGATGTACGTTTCCATTTCCCAGAGTATGCTTATTCTCTGAAGGCAACTGAAAAGAGTGACGTTTACAGCATGGGAATTGTACTGATGGAGCTCATAAGTGGCAAGATGCCTACAGATGAAGCTTTTGGAGTGGATATGGAGATGGTAAGGTGGGTAGAGACACGAATTGGAATGCGAAGTATGGCTGATAGGGAGGAGTTGATAGACCCATGTTTGAAGCCGCTTATGCCCAATGAAGAATCTGCAGCATTTCAAGTTCTTGAAATAGCTCTGCTATGCACTAAAACCGCGCCACAAGAACGGCCAGCATCTCGGAAAGTTTGCGATCAGCTCCTGCACGTTTATAATCCAAGAACAGTGGGCTATGAGAAGATGCAGACAGATCAATATTCTTGAGAAATAGGTTCATTGGTCATGATCGGTTTGGTTTCAGAGCAATGACTGCTCCTTTGTTATATAAGAAACAAATTTGTGTGATCTTTAGATGATAGAAAATGTTCTAGTTTATCAAATAGCTTCATGATATATTAAGCTCTCACAAAGCACAGATTCTAGAATGCTCAATTCACCTACTGGAAAACAAGATGGGAATCTAATACTTTTAACATTATATTTGAAGCAATTCATTTGAGTTAGCTTTCATGATTCTCCCATCACAATTGAATTAGAGCATGTATAGAGTTCTTCATGAGTTTACAGCGAAGTACCTAAACAGAGTTCAATGCTTAAGCATTGCTTTGGGCTTCGAGAAAGGCATTAAACTCCTCTCTTGCCTTGCGCAATCTAGGTGTGATGCAAGACGCTGGCGAGGAAGGTCCTGAAGGAGACGATGCCGAGAATCGAACATGATGTGACGGTTCGTGAGATTTTTGTGACGAACTGTTTTTTGTAACTCCCTTCTGATCTTTATCGAAGACGAAAGCTGCACTGATTGGCGCATTTGCATCCACACTATTTCTTATTAACTCCATTGGCAGATCGTAGAAAAGGCTGCTACTGGAGTCGTCTTCGCCAGTTTCGTTTGGCATGGCAGATGAAGCCCATGATCCACATTCGAATTTCTCCATGGAAACTGTCCTCGATATCACGCTTCCAATCTCGGTCCTCGATATCCTCACTTTTCCTATCTCTGGTTCTTCTTCCTTTCTGATTGACCTAACGGCCTTCGCTTTGCCGAATCCCGGTAAGAATAAACAGAGAGCCCCGCATTTAAATCCGTCATCGGTAGGCTCTAAGTTCTCTGCACCATTACGATAATCTTTGTTCGATTCAGTTCTAACGAAATCACCGTAACTCATCGTTTCTGGAAATTTTGCTTTATTCAACAACAGATCCAAATCATCGGCTGGAGCACTTGCTCTGCCTTCGCCACATGACTTACTCCTTCGAAATTGAGTATCCTCTTGTAGAGCGACTTGTATATCCTGCACCGACGATTTGAGCTTCGTCGAATTCGAAATTTTAAGTTTCGATTCTTGATTTTCAAGTTTTCCTTTCTTTTTCATTGAACCGAATCGGGGAGATGAATTGACGGAATTCGGCAGGCTGTAGCTTAAGAACTTGAACTGCGTCGGAGGTAGCGGCGGCGGAAGATGAAGATCAGGGGCATCAGGAGCCGTGATGGGATCGAAAATCATATCCTCTCTCGCCGATGACTGTCTCAATGATATTGGATCAACCGATATCTGTTTTTCCTTTTCCACACATTCATCATCATCGGAACAATACGTTGAACCAACGAACACGAGCTTCCCGGACATCAACCTCTCATTGTTGAAGTTATCCGACGTAGGCAGTGCAGGTGCCATCACCGGAGAAATCTGTGACAGAGAGGAAGAATTTGAAGGTGAATGGAATTGGAGAACAGCCGGCATTTATAACAACAGAAAGAAGAAAGAGATTATCAGCCATGATTTCTCAGGACGTGGGAAGCATTTACTTGAGCCGAATTTGGTAGTGTCTTGCATGATCTGTTCTTGCATTTGTAAGAACTCGCCAAGAAGCAGATGTTGACTTGAGAAAATTAATTAGTAGAATGGCTAGCGGGCTGCACGAGCTCAATACCATGTAGCAGGGATGGCTTCAGACGTCTTCTCACGATACACACGTAAATCTTTAATATATTAATATCCTAATTTCTTTTTCATTTTTGTACAATACGAGTGTAATCAATCGATTGGTCACTTAGTCCAATCAAATAAGTTGGCATAGTCTCCCAGGGAAATCATCATTCGCTTCGCCAACCGGACATTACTTGGGCGGAATATAAGCTTTTTCGGCCACAAATGCCACCTGCGCGCATACATATTCAATCGTCTGCGACACAACTTATTTGCTAGCAAGTCATTCGGTTCGACTTTGCCTCTACCGGAGCCAAGGTCTCTCAATGCGACGTTGTATCCCATCATCTCGTCTTGGTTCCCGACAACACGACTCATGCATTGTGATGTCATCCCATGTCTTGGGACAGCTCGACTATCATGACTTGCTCGAAAACATCTATTGAAATTAACTAATGTAGAACTCACTCCCAATAATCCTCAACAATCCTCCCTTCAATCGAGCCTCGACTCCTTTCTCTAGAACCCTCAAACAAAGGGCACCCTTTGTTTGACACTAATTCTCCCCTTGGTCGAGGCTAGACTCCTTTCTCTGGAGCACTCAAACAAAGCACACCATTTGTTTGACACTTCAGTCACTTTTGACTACACCTTCGAGACTCACAATTCTTGTTCGATATTTAAGGATTCTATTGACATGACTAAATTTAGGGTATGACTCCGATAACATGTTAGGAATCTGTCCACTTTGAGCATAAGCTCTCACTGTTTTACTTTGGACTCCCCAAAATGTCTCGTACCAATGAAGATAGTATTACTCACTTATAAACCCATGATCTTCCACTAAATTAACCAAGGTAGGACTAATTTTCAATAATCCTCAACAACTATCTCATGGGACATTCCGAGCATCCATCCATTTGGATTCTCATCGGGTATTAGACTCCCGTGTTAAACCATTTAAGGCAATCCCATTAAAATCTTAAGAAGGTGAAAAGGCAAGAACTGCTGGAACATAGGCTTTCGAGTGTCGTTTCATATCAAAACGTCAACCTAGCTTTAAAGATGAAATGGGCCGCCTCCATTGCGAAACCTAAAGAAACAAAGCCCAATTTAATCGACGTAAGGAAACCGGACAAGACTCCACGCTTGCGGAAGTTGGCTACGTGGTGAGTATTCATTGGTTCATTTCACGTGGCACACAATTTGATTGGCGGAAACAACGCAATGCAAATGCTTTCGAGATCTATTAATATGGAATTTTAGTACAAGGGCGGAGAGGTTTGCCGGAACTTATTGAAATGTTTTAAGAGAGTTCTGTTTCGATTGGGATCTAGTCTTGTAAGGCTCTGTAGAGTTTAGGGTTTGAGATCCAGAAGATGAAGGCGGTCCCTTTTGGATTAGCTGCGGCTTTGCTTGTTCTTTGCGTTTCTATTGTTCAGCTCCGAGCATCAGACGACGAGGTAATCTGTTTCAGCTTGTTTTGGCCGCCATTTCCTTGTTTGTTTCTCTTGGATTAAGATCCAATTGGTTGTTCTAAATGTTAAGGTTCTGTTTAATTATCTAAAACCTTTCTGTTTTTGTGGAGTTCAGATCTTTTACGAGTCCTTCGACGAGAGTTTTGAAGGCCGCTGGATCGTGTCCGAGAAGGACGATTATCAAGGTTTGTTTTCCTTTTTGTGTCTGTTGTGGAATATTCGTTGATCCTTTGTAATTTCTGCATATTCTGAATTGCTTCCTGCTGGATGTGTATATAGCCTGATCTGTAAGTGAAAAAAGGGAGGAAACAGAGTGAATGCGTTGGCTCTTCGATTTTACTTGATGAATGCTTCTTTATTTCATTCCTATCTTTTTGTATCTACTTCTCTCATCGATAAGTTATATCTTGCATTTTCTACGTGGATAGGGTTAGTGTATGAGACATTAGTTTGATCAATGACATGAAGAGAAGAAATATGGACTTCCGCAATTATTGACGATTATAGCAATTTTTGGCTTTGGTAGTTTTATCGTAATGGCTGGTTAATTTTTAGGCATTTACGTTTGTCGGCTTTTTTATGGCATAGTTGGGGGGTGTCGCATCATTTGCTAATTACGAACAGTTTTTTGATTCAATTTTGAATAGTTAATGGCATTTAGATGGTGGAATAAAGATTAGAAGAGGATATATAGATATGTAGTCTTTCACGCTGGTTGATTAGGTAGAGTTGCTTAGGTAACTTATTATTCTGTTGTGTTCTATAGGTGTCTGGAAGCATTCTAAGAGTGAGGGACATGATGATTACGGGCTTCTAGTAAGTGAGAAGGCAAGAAAATACGCCATTGTAAAAGAGCTCGATGAGCCAGTGAGTCTCAAGGATGGAACTGTGGTTCTCCAGTTTGAGACTCGCCTTCAAAATGGGCTTGAATGTGGTGGTGCCTATCTGAAATACCTGCGGCCCCAAGACGTGGGATGGAAAGCTAAGGAGTTCAATAATGAGTCTCCTTACTCTATCATGTTCGGACCTGACAAGTGTGGGGCTACGAACAAGGTGCACTTCATCTTGAAGCATAAGAATCCTGAGACTGGGGAGTACGTTGAGCATCATCTGAAGAATCCTCCTTCTGTTCCAGCTGACAAATTGTCTCATGTTTACACTGCCATTTTGGAATCTGGCGATGATGTGCGCATTCTCATTGATGGGAGCGAGAAGAAGAAGGGAAGTTTCCTTTCTGAGGATGATTTTGAGCCTCCACTAATTCCTGCCAAGACAATCCCTGATCCAGACGACAAGAAACCCGAGGACTGGGATGAGAGAGCGAAAATTCCTGATCCTGATGCAGTGAAGCCAGATGACTGGGACGAGGATGCACCAGTGGAAATTGAAGATGTGGAAGCTGAAAAGCCTGAAGGATGGCTAGATGATGAGCCTGAGGAGATAGATGATCCTGAGGCCACCAAGCCAGAAGATTGGGATGACGAAGAGGATGGTGAATGGGAGGCCCCAAAGATTGATAACCCAAAATGTGAGGCAGGTCCGGGTTGTGGTGAATGGAAGAGGCCAATGAAGAGGAATCCTGCATACAAGGGTAAGTGGCACGCCCCAGAAATTGACAATCCTAACTACAAGGGAATTTGGAAGCCTAGGCAGATCCCTAACCCTAGCTACTTTGAAATTGGAAAACCCGACTTCGATCCTGTGGCTGCAATTGGAATTGAGATCTGGACCATGCAAGATGGTATCTTGTTCGACAACATTTTGATCGCCAAAGATGAGAAAATTGCAAGTGCATACCGAGATGCCAAATGGAAGCCGAAGTTCGAAGTCGAGAAGGAGAAAGAGAAGGCCGAGGAAGCAGCAGCTGCTGGGCCAGATGGTCTTGCAGAATATCAGGTATAGATCTATCACAGTTTTGGTACTCTCCCACTGATATCAAACACTAAAATGTCTCTTCTCATCCCTGGCTTATGTGACTATCCTGCAGAAGAAAGTATTCGATGTCCTCTACAAGATCGCAGACATCCCCTTCCTAAGTCAATACAAGTCAAAAATACTTGTAAGTGAGGAAGTGTGCTGTCTTACTCGTTTTGGATTCTATTTATTTAGTATGGTCCTATAGTGAGTGTGTGAATGCGTGCAGGATGTCATTGAAAAGGGAGAGAAGCAACCAAACCTCACCATAGGCATCATAGTCTCTGTATTGGTGGTTTTCTTCACCATCTTATTGAGGATAGTCTTCGGAGGGAAGAAGACAAAGCAACTGGTGGGTGTCGCTCTCTAGAATTTTATTTACATGAAAGAAGGTTGGCATATGGGAGTATATAGGGGATTACGTTGTTTGTTTGTATGGTTGCAGGCAAAGAAAGAGGAGACGAGCGCGGTAGCTGCAGCAGAGAGTTCCAACGATCAAAGTGGAAGTGGAGAAAAGGAAGGAGGAGAAGAGAAGGAAGTGGCTGGTGCTGGTGCTGGTGCTGCTGCACCCCCTCGTCGACGGTCTGGTGCTAGACGAGATAATTAGAGAGGGAAGAATCGAATGTTTTTACAATTTGCGGGTTCTGAATGCAAAAGTTGAAAGAAAGTAGCGCTGTGATTGTGTAAGCAAAGCTGATTCTTCCATTTTTTTTCGGTAGTCAGTAGTCAGTCATGAAAGCATACTATTTTGAAGTCTAGATACGAAGATGTTGTGTTGGGTTGGTTGGGGGTTGTGGAACTTGGGTGTGGGCTCGACAGGAAGGATTTTGAGGACAAAATTGTTTTGGATTACCATTTTTTTCCTTCAATTTTATACCTCGCCTCTCATTTTAGTTGTCATGATTTATTTTTACGAATTTCATAGCTAATAGCTTTAAAAATGCTTGTTTTGATTTGTTAGTCAAATTATAAAACCATCCATTTTAGCATTTTATTATCATCATCTATTTTATAGTTTCATTTTGCTGTTATTTTATGGCGCGCAAATTAGTGATTACATTACAAAAACTTAATTCGTTTTGGGACCTTTTTTCCCCGGTAAAATCATTCTTATTAATTATATTTAAAAAATAATCGAGAAAAAGAAATCCACGATATTCTTTGGGTTTGGAGCAGTCCACGTCACATGGTAGGAACAATAGATGATTTTGCATCTAATGACACGTTCAATTCTGATCCTTAAACTTTTCAAAATATACCAATTTATATATTATATTTATCATAAAATTCAATAATCAAAAGATTAAGCACCCCATGTGGGTTTTTTGGGCTGATTTTGGTACGATAGGGTCATAAATTGTTATAAGGTTTTTTTTTTTTTATCAATTTATAACCATTGATTAAATGAGAATATTATTAATTTGGTTATTAATTTTACAACCATTCTAATATTAATCTTATTTAATTTCATAAGATGATTCAAACAATTGTTCCTATATAATGGACTTGTATAGGAAGTCGATGATATGACATCGAAATTTGAGAGAATTTTGTGTCACAATTTTTTTGAGAGAATTTTGTGTGTCACATTGTATGATTTCTCTTTAGCGTAAGAGCAAGATATTCACTTGTAACACTTTGATTATTAGAGTAAGGTATTCCATGATTCCCATGAATGTAGGAGAACTTCTATCTGAAGTAAAGTAAATATGTTAGTGTCTTATTCTAAAATTTTATTAAAATTTTAATAAATAAAATTGGAATGATCTAACCATCTTTTATTATTATTATACTAAAATAGACGAAATATATATATGTGTATATATAATGAAGATTTATTAAAAGCTAATAAAATAGATGTAGGGATACCAAAATTATAATTTAATATAAAAAAAATAGAAAAAAGGAGATTTTGAAGGGATTTACATATTATTAGTAGAGGATATTATATTATGAGATGCAAAAAAGGAATTAAACTGGTGTGCACTCATTTTGTGTGGCCACCGCACATTTTTTATGTATACATCGAGGGAGATTGAAGAGACTAAACAGAAAAGAACGCCCAAATTTTGGTAATGGAAAGTGGAGTAATGGCGTCTCAAACTTGACGACACTGATTAAACGCGCGCCTCCTACTTTCTCTCCATTTGCCCCTCTCTTCCAACTTTTCTGCTCCGAATCTAATCTCGGCTTTTTACTCTCCATTTCGTGCTCTGAATCATTTCGGAACCTGTGGAAGATCAGGGATGGTGGGTGTTTGAGAGCGCTGGAATTGAAGCTATGGGTTCCAGTTCCGATTCCTATTCGAACAATGATAATAACAACGCAGTAGGATGGAACAGAGCTGGGGGTTTGATTATGAAGACTTTGGTACTCTTTGGTGGTGCCCTTTTGCTTAAACGCCTCACTAAGTCCACAACGCGATGGGATCATGCCCGCTTCGTTTCTCAGTCCCTTTCTGGCGAGAAGGTTTCTGTTTTTAACCTCCTCGCACAACCCCTAATTGCGCTACTCTCTTTTCCTCTCTGAATTTCTTCTTTTCTTTGGATAGTTTTCGAAGGAGCAAGCAGCTAGGGATCCTGAAAATTACTTCAATATCAGGTACGCAATATGTGAACGCTGTTTAGTAGCTGTGAATTCTTCAATTTCTGAATGATGAACCCCTTTTCAATTGTATTCGACTAGGGCTTGTTTAGAAAATTTATGGAGGATTGATTTTGATTTTGTGTTTTAGAATGGTTACGTGCCCTGCAGCAGAAATGATCGATGGTTCTACGGTATTATACTTTGAACAAGTGAGTCTAGCACTCTTCCTGCCCGCTAATATTCCATTTAGATATCAGATATCATTTTATTTTTTGTTTTGATAGGCATTCTCCAGAACTCCTCAAAAACCCTTTCGTCAGGTATTGTTCTTCCCTAGTTTGAAGTTCGGAATTTATCAAGTTAACCATCGATGAACTCCTACGTTCGGTTTGCTTAACTTTCCTTCATTATACATATAATAATTCAATTAGTTCTACGGTTGCAGAGATTTTATACGGTGAAGCCTTGTTCAAAAGAGATGAAATGTGATGTGGAGGTGAGCACATATGTTGTTTCCACTTGATGTGAACGGAGGATATGTATTCCTAAACCATAAATTTGTTGCAGCTAACATAATGGTTTGCGTCTTCTGTGTGTAACATGCATGCTTCAAAAGTTTCGTATATTTGTTCACTTTGCAGTTGAGCTCATACGCCATTCGGGAAATGGAGGAGTACAAGAATTTTTGTGATCGGACAAAAGATCAACGTCCTCTTCCCGAAGAAATTGTTGGGGTTAGCCACCTGCTTAATACTTTCATCAGATTTTCTATTGCTTGGATATAAGTTTGGTTCTAATTATGTTATTTTAGGCCTGTTTTTATAATCGTATCATTTTTAGTTTTAAGAAACCATACCAATATTTGCGAACTTGCTAATCTAGTATTTAAAAACTAGATTTTGTTTTTAAAATTTTGCTTAGAATTCAAATGTGTTCTCAAGGAAGGTAGAAAACTTATCAAAAAATAGTTTCGAACTAAGCATTGCTTAAAAATAGAAAAAAAAAAACAAAATGGTTATTAAACGGGGTCTTAGCTTTTCAGTTGTCATAGTCTTGTTCCTAAGATAATGTCTATTGGTTGAGAATATATGACGCAGAGTTCTCTTAGAGCCGCTTATACTCTACTCTGGCCTTAGCGTATCCGAATTTTAGCGCCCCAATTTGATCAACTTTGTTTTTGACCAGGGCCTCAAATCCATGTTTATACCTTAATTTTTCATGGTTGGATCAAGCAAAAAGTTGAAGTTTGGTTCTGAGCAGGGAACTAAATTTAAGTATTAAGTGGGATTTTCATATTGAGCTTAACATTATTTCACTGTGAAGACTTGAGAGAGTAAAAAATGTGAGATGGGCATGGATGTTGGACGGCATTACCAAACCATCCATTGAAGAGAACAAAGTATGGTCGTAGTCTCTGCAAGGTAGCAAGTTGAACCATTGGAACTGCAGCCGTGAATCAGACTGCAGATTTGGATATATGGATATATGAGTTTAATGCTGTCTGTAATTACTTGGTCTGGATTTTGAATTAGTGGTTTGCTATCTGTTAATCAATTTAATGACCCGGTCAAGTTCCATGTCTTACAATAACTTCTAAATGATACCTCATTAATGCATAGAATGAGCGGTTTGGTGAAGAAATGAGACACTGATTAAGTTAAACCAAGTGAACATGAGTTACTGTACCGTAGCTAACGGTGAAGATATACATGGTTGTGAAATAGTGAAGCAGAATTAGAATTTTGGTGCCTCCGAGGTTACGTGTCTATTTTAGATTATCATCTTTCTTGGATTATTTACCAGAGTATTTTAAAAATCTTTTACAAAGCTCTCGTTTATTGTTTCATGGAGTTTATAAGATTAGCATTATTATTTTTACTGTAAGATCCAAACAAAATCCATTCTTATTTGTAAGGAAATCCATAGGACAGGTATTTTATTATTGTTAGATTAAGTCTGCTCTTCACTGAAACTGAATTGGATGTTGCTGGATGAATCTCATACAAGTCTAGATTTTTATGCACAGGACATTGCAGAGCATTTAACTACGTTACATCTTAAGCGTTGTGATCGTGGAAAACGTTGCTTGTATGAAGGTTCTACTCCACCCGGCGGTTTTCCAAATTCATGGGTAAGAGAGCATCTGGATACCTAAGATATCATTCCACATAATTTGTTTGGTTTTTCAAATCTGTGAAAATGCCAAGAGTAAGGCTGAAAAGTTAGTTATCCCGACCGCAACGTTCCAGTAATAGTTATTACTCCCTTCCCTTACCATTGAGCTTCCTTCATTGCAGAATGGAGCAGCCTACTGTACTTCTGAATTATCTATCCTAAAGAATAATGAAGTACATACCTGGGAGAGGGGTTACGACGAAGATGGAAACCAGGTTTAATTCTTATTACATACTGAGAAAATGTTGTGAAGTGGCATCTGACAGTGTGAACCTCTAATAAATTTAATGTTTGATTTGCTTGTTACAGGTTTGGGGAACAAAAGAAGGACCTTACGAATTCAAGGCAGTTCCAGCCAACAGTCTCAAGGACATGTTTTCTCCACTAAATTTCTCTCAGCAGTCCATGGAGAAAAGAATAGAGGGCTCATTTGTCTTGCAATAACAGTCACTTGATAATTTATCTTATATATAGTGTAAATTTCCGTCACCTTTCCTATCTGAAATAAAATCTTGCATTTGCTTGTCATGTTTTGTCTGTCTCTTGTTGTCAAATGTTTTCATATGTGTATTAGTAGGGTCGAACGTGCTTGAAAGCGAGCAAAATGGCTGTTGACATGCTCTCCAGTGGACATACTACACAGGTAACTGTATCCTCCGTTCTCGTCTCAGATATATCCCGAAGATACAATCGCATCTTAGCGTAGTTATATCTTCGGATGTTCAAACATCATGATCAGAATGAGGACTTAGGGCAAGAGAGAATAGTGAATAAAGGTTAGGCTTACAGGAACAATTTTGAGGAATATCCTTGTCCACCACAGACATTATTTAGAATGACCTACTGAGAAAACTCCTAAAAAGTGTGTAATTCCCATTTTTATTTATCTTGTACTATATAGGAATGTCACTCTGCATAAATTTTCAACTTTTACTGAAGAGTGATACTAAAGATAAGCTCAAACACTTAGACAGTATAATAACAGGTGATACGAGTCGTGTAATAGTGGTGAAATGTCCAACTTAAGATAGTATAGGGACCGTCCATGTGAACACATGCAATGAGTTGAAATTATTTGTATTCTGCTTTCCTGCCTTGTTTGATAATACATAGATGACAACATTTCACAAGAAGGTAGCCAATCTTCAAAACTAGATGGTACACATGGAACACTTGAAACAACAACAAAACTGAGCTCTGCAATTTCGCTTCTAACTACCCAAAGTAACATTCTTCTTCACTGGACGGTACTCATTTTCTCATCTTTGGCAAACTTTTAAGACGACAAACTGAGCTTTGCAATATAGCTTGTAAGTTGTAACTACGCAAAATAACATCCTTCTTCATTGGATGACACTCATTTTCTCATCATTAAGCAAAAAAATTATTCCCTTTAAAAAAGAAAACGACTAAACAAGTGTCCATAAACTATCCATAATCAGAAGGGAAAATGAGAACTTCAAGCTGTTTTGTGCAATCCAACGTTCAGATCAGAAGATATGGAAATAAGGAGGGGTAGAGACTGAAGCCATACAGCCTTGAAGACTCGTTTCTGATGAGCTCTAATGGATTGGGAAGGCTTGTGCAAATTGTACCTGATATCAAACAGATGGATTACAGGGTCAGCAGACCCAGATGTGAGAACCAAACCATCAGGCGACCAAGCCTGATTTATCAATGCTGACTGTGATTCACTGCTCTTTTGCTCCCACCCGAAGGCATGTAGTTCTGTCTGCCTAAGTCTGATATCATATAACCGGAGCTGCTTTCCAGGAGTACTGCACGCAAAACAATTAATCAAAGACTTGTTCAAGTTTTCTCTGGCTTAATCGATAAAAAATTTCAGTCTGAACAAATAGTAATTTAGTTGCAGGGATTTAACTCCACTCTTCTTTTTCAAAGGAAGCAAATGATGGAAAGATCTGCAGGGGCTTTCAACTGGCAATATAAATCTTTGAATCAAATTAATACTGCATTCAAAATTGTAAATTTGAGCAAATAATATATTTCATTCTGCTATAGAATCTCAATGGCAATTTGTTTTGAATACTAACTTTGCACACACAATATAATGCTCGAAAGTCAAGTCAGGTGAAATCTTCTAACCTTATAAGATTTTTTCAGGATAGCAAAGTAATGTCGTGCATCTAGCCCAAACCTATTTGAGAGTTTTAGCATTTGTGAATTAGGGGTTTACATAGCCAATGGGTTCGTAATTCCAACTCACCAGGGTTTTCATGAAGGAGATCTTCAAGGTCCACTAAATCTAAGTTTAGTTCTAATGTCAACATGTTAGAGGAAAGCGTTAACATGAGAATTTTGATATAGTAGAAAGTAGTAGAAAGAAAGCTTGCTAATGTTGTACCTATGCATGATAATGATATTTTGCCTAGTAGGTCATTAGATAGCTAGGAATCACATGATTGTAATCTTACTACTACTATTGCACCACTTGTTTCTGGAGAACAAGTGTTGATAGTAGTGGACTAGAGAAAGTGAGTGGTAGTGAGTTTCTTGAATTTTGCAATTGAATTAGTTCACATAATCGAAGGGTTCCTAGTTCCAACTCACTAGGGTTATGTGGACAAATTGTACAGATGCAAGCTAAAATTTGTTGCGGAGGTTTCTTGGCTTCATGGAAGTCCTTTGAGGCTGCTGTTTCCGAGGCTCTACAGAGTTGTGAGATTAGACAACTTTTTGTCAACCTTTCCCTTTCTATCGGATGTCCCTGAAGGAGTTTCAGGGGTGGAATCTTGTGTTCAGAAGAAATCCCAAGGATTAGAGATGAATGAATGGCTCATTTTCTCAGAATTGTTTCAAGATATAGTGTCTATTTTAACAATTCATCAGCATCTAAAAGGTGTTCTTATGTCTCTTCCAAATGGACGGACTCTTCGATAATTCAAAATTGCACGATCAAGGCTATTAGGTAAGCTAAAATTCCAGGAAATGATTCTATATGCAGGTTACTAGTTCAAGATCAACTGCACACCTTGCAACAAAGTGGAACGGATGATTCCTATATACTCTTTATCCCCAGGCTCGTGTTATCTTTGTAAGTAACCAGAACAATCTTTTCTTCTAATTGTTTTTTTTTTTTTTTTTTTTGAAGCTAAGAGTTGGAGAAAGTTGTCAGTCATTGATCTATACATTTTAGGCCAAGAGATTGAAAGCAAAATACTAAATTAACTCATCTGTTTTAATTAATAAGCTATCCTCCCGGATGTGTAGTATTCAGAGTAGCTATTTATGATACTATTCAGAGTAGCTATTTATGATACTATGCAATTTGCGATCGGTACATCCCAAAGACAATGTGTTGGCTCTCATCCAACTTTCTCTGTGGATCCTTCAAGAGAGCAAGCTAATATCATGTGGTCCAACAATGTCATGCCTTTTAGAAGAATATTGTGGTTCAAAAAGAAAAAAAAAATGGAAGGGTGTTTCAAGATATGCTACTTTTGAAGGCTTCACGGACCAGGCAAGATTTTCCTAAGCCAAGCGGGATCCTTTTCTCTAAATCCCATTGGTTTTAGGGGGTTTCCTCATTCTCCTTTTGTTCACCCCTCGACTAAATACCAGTATAATTTCTTACAAAAAATTTCTAGATACCACTATAACACAATCTCAATATTCTCAAGAGGCTATAAAGATATGTGCTGAAATATTTGCAGTTCCTATCCTAGAACTAAAAAATGAATGTAATTGTTAGGCCTTAGCCAACGATTTTATTTATGAACGAGTAATAAGGGAAGATTAGAGAGTTACCCTATCTCTCCCAACTTTCTCATCAGATAATTACATCAGAAATAAGCCAAAAAAGATACCCCCTTATAACAACCTTTGACTCCCATCCCATACACTACCTAACAGAATATAAATGGACCCAACAAAAACACACGTCAGCTAACCATTACATGATCTATCTATTCCTCATGTGCCTATGCACCTTTGCAACTCATCGTAATGCCTAATCGTGTTTACCTCTGATTTTATATCTAGAATATGGAATGACTCTCTGTGACTTAACCACTAAAAATGAATACGCAAAACTTTCTGCAACACTAATAAAACAATAGAGCACATAGACATGGTATGGAAATTCGGGATCACCTTACATTTATACACATAACAACTCATTTTTCATAGCGAGCAAATTCTAGTATCAGAAAACTCACCCTGTTTGGACCATAAATAGGTTGAAATCGCATGGATTAGGCAAAATACTCATGCATTTGCTTTCTATCTGATGCTTGAACTCTGTTCTACCAACATTTACGTCAAATCCAAGAATTCTCTTGTCTGCACCTGCAGAAAGTACGATTGGCTTCTGCTGCATCCCTGCTACCCCCATGACTGCTGAAGAGTGTATGTTTCTGTGCAATGCCTTTGGCTTCCATGTGTTCTCCCCATCTTTCTCTTTCCATTGTACAACGGCATGATCACTTCCACCAGTGATAAAAGACGTGCTATCCCAAGGCAAGAAAATTATGCTGTTGATAATGCCCTTAAAGTGAGGCTTATCCTCAAGGAAAGTAACACGAGCTTTCTGTCAATGCACAGACATAATAACTCACCTTAGTCATAAAAACCCCAAATTAACAACTTTTAAAAATGGAAAGGTACAACTTAGTTGTCTAGGGAGAGGGATGCATCTAAAATCATAACCTTGCCAGAAAAATGCATGCCAAAGGTAAACGTGATTTCTAATATAAATCATACCCCTTCACTTTTGTTCAGATTCATGACTGAGACCTGAGAGTCCCCACCATCAGCACTATAAACAAGAAATACGCGGTTCCCCTCTGGATGCCAGACCATGTCTTCTGGCCATCTCCTTTGCTTTGGAGATACACAGTCGGCGGAACTAAGTAGAGAGGCACTTGACCTGTGATAGAGGGAGTGGACAAAGAGAAGATGAACAAACACGCTTAAGCATTTCTATATTTGGGTAGAAAATGGAAAACATTAAGTCACTTATGCAATGGAGAAGAGACGCTTCTTCCAAAGACATCAAGAAGTGCCTCATCTAGATAAACTTCAAGGGATGACTGGCAAAGGTATTCCACCAAACATTTTGCAATATGTTAATAACATCGTACCAGATACATTCCTCCAATGGGAAACTACATCCACATTAAAAATTCATTTTTGTGCTCTAACTATTTATCTCAAAACAACAAATGAGCATTTGTACCCTCCGACAACTACAAGCAGAATCTTAACTTGCAAAAGACTGACACATAATCATTTTTATTTCATAGAACCCAGCAATGATACGATTATAACATTAGAAGATAAATTAACGTCTCATTTAAAGAGGCTTCTTATAAACACGTACTATGTTCCAGATTCACCAGTTGGCATGGAGACTAGTTCCAACTCAAACCAGAATGGTCATAGCTTATAGCTCCAGAAGATGGTAGCTGTAGATAAATATGATATAGGATAAAGTGGGAAATAATCAGCACTCACCCTCTGGCCTGTAACTGCCACAAGTTGACTACTCCATCCAGGGCACTGTAAAA